TTTTTTTTTTTTTTTTTTAACATATAATGTCTTATTTGTTTCAGAGGTACAGGTCTGTGCTTCAACAGTCTTACACAATTCACAGCACTCACCATAGCACATGTTGTTGTTTTTTTTTTTCTGACTTTTAAAGCCAATGGAATGGTTATTTTTATGCCATGAGTGTTTAACTATAAAAATAACTCTCTGTTGGGGCACCTGGGTGGCTCAGTTGGTTAAGCGACTGCCTTCGGCTCAGGTCATGATCCTGGAGTCCCAGGATCGAGTCCCACATCGGGCTCCCTGCTCAGCAGGGAGTCTGCTTCTCCCTCTGACCCTCTTCCCTCTCGTGCTCTCTATCTCTCATTCTCTCTCTCTCAAATAAATAAATAAAATCTTTAAAAAAAAAGATAACTCCCTGTAACATCTGAACATATTTATAAATATTACCTTTTTCTCAATATTCTATGGAAAACATACTGCTCACTCATATTAACCTTTGACTTTCAATAATCTTCGCTTAAAGTATTTTGCAATTTTGAAATGTACACATATACAAATATGTTAGCTCAGATCAAGGAAAGCAAGAGTAATTCATAAAAATAAAACAAAAATATGTTTTCAAAAGCATAGATCATTACATATGTTCACTGGAGATATCACATTATAGCCGTGGTTTTCAAACATTTTGATCTCAGGATAACTTTAAATTCCTAAAAATTATTAACGACTCAAAATAATTTTTATGTGGATTATCTCTTACTGAATTGAAACTGAGAAGATCTAAAAATATTACTTTATAAAAAACAAAATTTATGTTAACAGAAATGGTTTTTTTATAAAACGATAATTGTATTTTCCAAAAACAATGAGTGCAAACAATGGCACTGTTTTATATTTTAGCAAATCTCTTCATTATCTGGCTGAAAAGGCAGATTCTTCTACCTCTTCTGCATTCAATCTATTACAATATCAAATGACTTGTTGTCTCTAGAAAACCCAACTTTGTACTTGTGAGAGAAAGGACACAAAGATAAATAACTTCTTATTATTATGAAAAGTTTAGACCTCAATGATCTCTGTGAAGGATAATGGGAACTCTTAGGGTTCCCTGGAACATACTTGAAGAACTGCTGCTCCACAGAGCTGTTCGTAACTTCTGTTCTTTCAGACATTATAAACTTACACGTCTCCATGCCTTCATCATCATCATCTACCGCAGGTTTATCATAAGACTTGTCGATGGCAGCTCTGAAGCTCTCATTGCATCCCCTTCCTCTGATTATCCGCGGCCGTGGGCGGTGGAAAGGAATATCCCCATTCAAAGTCACCTCAGCGACTGCCGTCTGTAGACTCTCTAATGAGCTTGACTTCTTCAGACCCAGGGAAGGTCCTACATCTCTGCTGGGGGAACCTTGGAGATTAACAAAAACGAAATGTTAGTTAGAATTAGTGGTGAATATGATACACCTGAATATCTATGAACTGTGGAAAACATCAGGGACATAAATTATTTGCTCACTGAGTTTTAAAGTGTGGATGGAAATGTTAAAAAATAAAGTAATAGTGACTAATTTTAATTTTTCCCAAATATATATTAAATTTAGTCTGTTTTCTCTATTTTCATTAGGAAAAACTCTTAAGTTATTAGTCTCCACTTTTAGCTCAAGAGATAAAATTTTGGTCAAATCATTTGCTCCAAGTATGTAAATAATCTAAAAGAACCAGAATAAACCAGAAGCTCATTTGAAAAGCAGGGATGATGTGAAGGCTAAGATAAGCAACCAAGAGTAAGCTTTGTAACTTAACTGAAATCATTTATTGACAGTTTCAAATTATTTACAGCAGAAATTAAACTTTCGTCTCAATGAATTCCATGAATTCTCTTCCTCATCACACAGCTCAGTAGGTGAAATGAGCACAAAAGACTACTCGTCACCAAGACAATTAGGGCACCCTGGCACCAGGCAGAAACCAGATTCTGGGAAACATTAATGTTCTCTGGAAAGAGCAATGCAAAATTTGAATAGAAACAAATTACATAAGGGCTGTCACCAGGGAGCAGTAAAGGAGGTGAGACTCAAGAGCTGAACATGAGGACGTATTATCTCCAGGCTGGGGAGTAATAGCTGCTTGAGGAACAAGTAATGAGCAGGAGGAAGAAAACTTAACAATTAACGAAGACAATTTCAGTAGGATGGCAGGGGAGAGTTGGGGGAATGAACAATTTGGCTGTTTCTGGAGGATATAGGGCAGGGGGCCTGAGAGAATACCAGCAGTACCAAGCTTTCGAAGGCAATCAAAATGGATTTCTTTAAGCAAGGCAGACAGCCTCATCCATCACTGCCTGACCCGGCACTCAGAGGTAGATGAAGTTTGCCTCTCGATGACTCAAAGACCAGCTCTATACCACCACTGGGCAACCCAGGTTTTAGAACTAGCTTGTCACTTACACTGTGAAAAAGGTACAAAAAAATGGGAAAGTAGAAGAGAGGAGGTCGTTGATCTGTATATGAGGTCATTGGCCCACGTGTTAATCAATAATTAAGGCATAGCCTTGATATGTTATTACCTAAAAGGCAATAATTATGACATGGGCTTTGCATGGCTCAGGGTAGAAGATAGAATAAAAGTTACACTGAGAGTCAAAACAAGAATTATCTTTTTAAGATCCATTTATATTACATCTTTCACCTGATTTGCACAATGGGGTAGCAGTTTTTAAGTTAGAATAAATGTCAAAAATGTAACATAGGCAGAAAGGCAGACAGATGATTCTAATAAAGAAATAATCCATCAATTATCGTGCTTAGAAGAAAAAGATGATTTACTGAACTTTCTCAGTGCAAGATTGTATATATTTGATTATTTTATGACAAAAATTCCCAAGAAATGTTTCTTTTTAGGATGATCAATCTTACTTTTTCTCTTGATAGCACTATAATTTTTGACAAGTTCATGTTCTAAATACTCGTAAAAGTCATGTCACAGGAAGCAAAATGAATTTTGTTCCAGAACTAAACAAAAAGTAAGAAATCAAGGAATCAAAGAGAACAGGAAAAGATCACTCGTAGGCAGGGACATTTACTTTATATTTCCTAGAATTAGCAAGGGAAAATCTTTTTCTGAATAACTCATGTATATCAATTTTCATAACCTACCAGCTGCATTTGGGTTCTATAAACACTTATCAGGCAAATATTTGGCACTTTTTTGGGAGCATAAAGGACATGCATATGTATATATGTATGTGTGTATATTCATATCTATCTATATTTCTCCAATAAAGATTTCATGCTTCCAGTAAAGATTTTCATAAAAACATCACTTAGGTATATTAAGATTTTCTTTATGAAAAGTTAGCTGAGATTCGACTTAATATACTCACAGCACTAAACATTTTAATAATGAGATCCAGAAATAGCATGAGTATTAATAAGTATATGTCTATATATACATGCATATAAGTATTTATATATATATAAACATATATGTACTAAAATACATAAACAAAGGCAAATCTGGTAAAAAAACAATGATGAAAATATTAATAAGCAATAGATATTTTGTAAGCATAACTTAAGACTTACCTATCTACGCCACCCTCTGAAATTATAACATGGTAGTGTAACATTTTGGCCATGGTGTGTATTGTGTATACAGCGAATTATTGCCTCTATATTTATGTATGGTTGAAAATCCTCATAGTAAAGTTACACAAAAAGTCAAAATTTGTAATTTGTGAACCTATAAGAGGGATCAGCCAACCATGGGCCTAACCTGGAATGTCCAGTTGTTCATATATATTCTATGGCTGTTTTCATGCTACATGAGAATGAAGTAATTGTTACAGGGACTGTTTGGTCTACAAGGTCTACATTATTTACCATCTGGTCCTTTACAGAAAGAGACTTCTAATTTGTAACATGGATATGATACATTTAAGTATGATATTTCACAAAGGAACTTTAACAAAGATTTTGTTAAGTAAAAATGTTAAGATTCCTGAATGAGGGTTTACTGAGAACCCTGCCATGATAAACTTAGCATTTACTAGGGGGTGAAAATTAAAAATGCCTTTCTCTAAAGAAAGTATGGGCAAAAATTAGTCTTACTTACACACACACACACAAATCAGCATCTTTTAATTTTAAAATAATATTCTAAAGCTCTTTATAAATCAGGTCATTAGGATACTTTGCTTATTTTTTATATTCAAAGATCAAACTGTTAGAAACCCAATTCTCTTCTTATTCTCTCTTTTCTTTCACAAAGAAAATTTACCCCCAAATATCAAAAAGGATCCTTAAATCCAGAAATAAAGGGGAAAATTGTAATCATACTATTTTTCCCTAGGCCTATTTTTCTACTACCTACTAATACCTCTCTTGCCAAAAAAAAGTAGAGGATGTCTTTTGCAAGGGCGAAGGGAAATGGAATTCAATTTTCATTACGAAAGGCTTATGGCTAGACAGATGATCTGTGCTGAAATGCCACTGCGGCTCTACCAAAAACCTTTGGACTGACCCGTAAACTCATGATCATCTTAGCAATTCAAGTGAACTGAAGAAAGAAAAATAACTGAAAATCTGTTCACTGCCCAATATTTCAGGGTGGAAAGGATCTAGTTTAGACATTTTATTCATGTAGATTTAAAACCAATAGACCAAAAAAAAAAAAAAAAAAGGTACTGTGGTGTCTATTTAATAATTTTGTGTCCCAAGGTTTTCTAGTTTACTTTGGTAGGATCGATGGCACATAGTGGGGGAAATAAAAGAAAAAAGGAAAACTTTCTTTTTTTTTTTATCTAGGATCCAACATTTTAAAACACAATAAAAGCACAAGATTGAATTAGATTATAAAATCTGCCTTCTCTCGATGAAAGTTATTTTATGTGTTCAATTAAACTCTGAATATCATCACTATTTTTTTAATTGCACTAAGATTACCTCTTTTCCTTTCGGTAAAAGTGAGTTGGTCAAATTAAAAATTTTTCTGACTCTACCTGACTGGCATAGTATATGAAGTCATGTTCTTTAACCTGAGCAGTTTGAGTTGGTTTTCATGAACATTAACTTGGACAAGGCTTACTTCTTTAAAAGTATTGAATACTATTAACTCCAAAACTAATTACTAATTTACATATATGAACTATCAAGTAGTTTTTCTTTAGCCCTGTTTCAGAATTTCAGTGAATTTCATGTTTGATCAGAGAAATAACAACATAATAATGGCTGAAGCTATACTTAATCGCCTTCCACTATGGTTAATCTTACGATTTATTGGATGTAAATTTTATAATCTATCTTTTACTCTACAGAATGTGAAAACTCCAACCATGTCCACAATAATCTTTACATATGTATATGGATACACATACACAGGCTAAAACTAATTACTACTGCAGGTTAAAGAGGTGAATTGAAGCTAATTAGTGCTAAGTGATGTGACTACATCATACTGGATCTAGAATAATTAGAACACTATTCCAAACTTATAATAATAAATCATAAATGTGCCATTGTACAAAGCACATTACTTTAATTACACATGAAGACTTTCCTGTGATTATTTTCATAAAATAACATAAAAAGTAAATTCTAACGTAATGAAAACCCAGTTCAATATAATCTATTGACGCTACATAAGAATCTAGGCAGCATTTTAGAAGTAAGCCCTAATGAGTTAAAAAAAAAATAAAACTTTAAAATAGGTTCACAAAGCCAAGACAAGGAGGCTGTGTACATTATATAGTCTAACTCAATGTTAGACAACTATGAGCTAATTCTTGCATCTGAAGAACTACAGTTTTCTGAGCATCTAAAGATAGCAACAGTGAACACTGTCCTTCAGTGAAAACTATTTATATTTATGCTATTATCCTTCAAATCAAAATCACCACTTTGAGGATCATTGTTTGGACATCAAGCCAGGCATCTAATAAATGACTTAGACACTTAAAGCTCTACTAGAAGAGATCCTGTTTTCAAGATTTTGATTTTTATTTAATTGCGACAAAACATTCCTACACAAATGCTATTAAAATCTAGATTGTTGGGCACCTGGGTGGCTCAGATGGTTAAGCGTCTGCCTTCGGCTCGGGTCATGATCCCAGGGTCCTGGGATCAAGTCCCACATCGGGCTCCCTGCTCCTTGGGAGCCTGCTTCTCCCTCTGCTTCTCTCTCTCTCTCTTTCTCTCCCTCTCTCTCTCTCCTCCTGTCTCTCATGAATAAATAAATAAAATCTTTAAAGAAAGAAAAGAAAAAATGAGTTTAAAAAAAAATCTACATTGTTTTAGCATTTTTGAAACACTAAGTTCTATTTGCACTTAGTATGTACTACACTGATGAATTCCCTCTAACAGAAAATTTTTCTTTTCTTGCACAATTTGATTTCCTACAATGAAAACATCCATGCAAGACTGGAATATTTATGTTTACATGCAATATGATTGGCAGTTCTATAATTATTATCAGCTCCTTGGACCATAGTTTCTATGGCAACAGTCTAACTGTCCATTCTTACCTGCTTTCTGGTCATCCACTGTATTGAGTTTAGTCTCGTCAGCTACTGTTAAAAGGTAAATGTATACTGGTTAGCGCAGTTAGTTCCCACAGCCCAACATGCTTCAACCATTCCCGGATCTTTTCAGTTAGGTGATCATTCTTAGGTAATATTTCATGCAAATAATATGAAACATCAAGCAAACATTCATAATCAAAAAAAGGGGGGAAAAGCAGTGTCTCCATGCAAAATGCCAGTCATTTCATTTCACAGACACGTGTGTTATTTTTAAGTTAGCATATCATAATTAGCCAAGGCAATGCATCGCCAAATTTTTCTTTTATGCATGTGATAAATTAATACTTTTAGTCTTGAAGTACAAACAGCCACCAGAGAACAGCATAAATAAGTTACAGTTGATTAACAAAGGTTTTGTAAATCATCTGATCAGTTTATAGATATAATTAATTATTTTACTTTTTTGTTTGCTTGCTTTTTGGTGGATTTTGATTTAAAAAGAGACACTACCTGATTGGTGTTTGAACAACTATGATTATTTTTCTCCTCCCATTTGCTTCCAAATACTTTCTACAACAAATATTCTCTCAAATTATTACTTCAATTACATGCCTTAATTATCAACACATAAGAGTATCTATTAAGTAAACCTTAAAGAATAGCAGAGAAAGATATCATGAAGTAACCAAATTCTACACATGGATTGAGATAATGGTTTCTCTCCAAAACTTCTCCTTCTAGTTCAAGAATCCCACAGCCAACCAAATTCTATTTCAAAAAATTGGTTTTAAACAGCCAAAATTTAAAACATTTCATCTTTTCAAATAAAGATGCAGGAATATAGCATGATATGCATGTGTTTGTTTCTTTTATCATCAGGAAACATATATATTAACATACTGCATATTATGTAAACATGCCACTTATGAGAAATATGGTTATCTCAAACTCAAAGAAAAACTAATTTTTGCCAAATTGTCACATTTCACATTTATTTTCTCTATTGCTTAAAGTAAACAGACATGTGTTTGGGACTATCAATTTTAATCTGAAAGCATCTAAACCTTATTTAGATAAAGATTCATGGAGATTGTACTCACTACCTAAATCCATGCTTTTTGATTTTCGCGTTTTAACGAAATCCAATTGACTGGCATCTGAAAATTGCTTTGTGCGTTTTTCTGACATACTCTGGCGTCCAAATCCTTCTCGTTGAAAAGCAAGAACTGGATCAACATCTGGACTCAAAGAGCTGTTGTGAAGAGAAAGAAAAACATAAAAATATTTACTATAAATAGAGGACATCCAACTTTAGGAAAGATCATATATGCCTGTGTGTATGAAGGTATGCATATGTGTATTCCTCAGAAATGCTGAAACACAAATACAGTCCATTAAAAAAATCTGTGGCTGAATAAGAAGTGATGGGAAAATACAAAACTGATTTACATTTAGAGTAATTCTTTCTCCATGCGAGTTCTCTCCTCCTCTATTTCCTTCTGTTTTCTCACTGTTCTCCTATACATCATTATTTCTAAGTGATTATAGAAAATAAAGCTGATGGGGGTGGTGGGGTGGCTCAGGCAGTTAGGCATCCGACTCTTGGTTTCGGCTCAGGTCATGATCTCACGGTCATGAGATCAAGCCCTGCCTGGGGCTCTGTGCTCAGCAGGGAATCTGCTTGTCCTTCTTACTCTGCCCCCTCACCCCTACCCCCCACTCACATGGGCTCTATCTAAAATAAATAAAATAAAATCTTTTTTAAAAAATAAGGCTGATGTCTTTTAGACATTAGGAGGATTGAATATTTGAGGAAAACTTTCATATATGAATACAAATATTGGCAGCAAACAAGTGACTATATGAATTGCAATCAAATAGAAGTTTGAAAAAAGAACATGTCTGGTCTTCTTATATATCCTTTATCCTGTGTTTCAGAAAAGAAGAAAAAACACCATTGTGGCATTCAGTTTCATGAGAATATAGTTTCTCATCAATATTTATTCAACTGAGAAGAAACCAACTCAACACATCTTCATTAGTACCTATTCTGATTAATGTGTCGTGCTGGGGACCAAAGTTAAAAAAATAAAAACAAAAAGATCTCTGTTCTCTGCAAACTCCTAAGAAAAAATACTACACCAGAACCACCAAGCCAATGCTGTGGATGCAGAGATGGGGGAATGATCGGTATCAGGGGGAGGCAGGAATAGCATGACTAAGCCCGGATAACATTTTATTTCAGTGACACCAACACAGTAGTTCAAGCAGAGATGATGAAGCCCATGGCAAATCATTGGTAACAGGATATAGCTGGAAGAGTTTTCCAAGTGGACGTGGCAAGGGATGACACAGAACCACTCCTATTTGTAAAAATCTGTGAACACTTTGAAAAGTACTACTAAGTGTTCTGAGCACAGTTCATACAGTAAGAATGGTTGTTCTGTGCTCTGGGCACACTGAGTAAATATATTGCTCTCCTGTATCAGTACCTAGCCACCTTCCCTATCTGGCCAGGTAGGAGAAAATGCCTCCACAGCGAACTAAACATACTAGGAAGTGAGGGACTGCTTCCACCACGTCAGCTGAGTTTATGATAGCCTTCCTTATGCTTCCGATGGAAGCAAACTTCTCTACCCTTTATGGCCGTAGATAATTACCATCCATACTGGTAAAGGAGAGTGATCTGGTTTGGATATCCATCAAAAATGTAGCTGCAGTTTACTGTGCATGAAATGATAGCTGGCTTTGGAGAAGAGCTAAAGCAAAAACTGTAAAAAGAAAGACATCAAGGGAAATGCTTCGCCCTCAGGTTAAGTCACCTGAAATGTGTCAGGCGCACGTGTATTAATATGCTCTATAAACAGAATAGCGGCCTCACCTGTCTGACAAGGCCAGTAAGAGAATTCAAGGACATAATGTGAAAGCGCTTTGTAACTGTAAACCACCATACAAAGTTATTATCACCCCACAAAGACTGTCTATCTCAAATAATCAACATAATACAAATTATGATAACAGAAATAGGGTCCTTAAAAACCACACAGGGGAAGTGCACAATCCTTCCCAATCTTTTCCACCAAGTACAGAGCAGGGCCCCTAGGATGAGACTAGGTAGGTGCCCATGACTCCAAATTTAAGGAAGCACTCACTCTCATGGTCATGCAAGTTCAGGGTGCACACCTGAGAGTGACTCCTTCCTTATATTTTGTATCCTGGGCATCAGCTTGCCTCCCCCTGTCCTGGTCCCAGTACTGAGAAAAGAGAAGCTGTATCCCACGGGCACTGGGAATTCAGCCCAGAGCAAGAAGAACTTTATTTGGTAAAACTCTATGTTATGTCCTAATAAATGTTCTTTTCTCTGCATTCTATATTAAATCTTTTCATTTTTAATACACCATATTTTTTTCTGTAAAACTTTGAATACATTTTTGAAACCCTCGGGGCCCCTTCACATACTACTATGCTTGCATACCATGTATATATGTATGTATGTATGCATGTATTTATAACTATAGCCTATATTATATAATTACATACTGCTTATACATATTTCTTAATTTTTTTGTTTTTAAAAATTTTGTTATGTTATGTTAGTCACCATACATTACATCATTAGGTTTTGATGAAGTGTTCCATGATTCATTGTTTGCGTATAACACCCAGTGTTCCATTCAGTACATGCCCTCTTTAATACCCATCACCAGGCTAACCCATCTCCCCACTCCCCTCCGCTCCAGAACGCTCAGTTTGTTTCTGAGTCCATAGTCTCTCATGGTTCGCCTCCTCCTCCAATTCCCCCCCCAATATTTCTTAAATTTATATATGCTTGCATATCATCTTTATGTAGTAGTATTCAGATTCTACTATGCTTACTATATATGCTTGTAATTTCCACATATACCAATTGGAAAAGACAGACCTAGAAATGAAAACTAAAAACCCATTTGATAAGAACTATGACCCAATTTTGCAACAGCAAACTCTAAATTATATATTTTCAATAAGAATAATAATAAAACCTGACCTCTTCAATCATTCTGCTCATGAAATACATTTTTAATAGAAATTATTGATAAGAGCCTTTCCAAAGAAATATAAATTGTTGGTGCCAATGTTATTCGAAAACGACATATTGGCATATCTTTTACACATATCTTTGGAATTATGTTGCTACTAAGATTAGAATCTGCTGTTTTACCTTGTTTCTCCTTAAAAACATCGCTAATGTTCCCTAAATCAATTAACGGATTGAAAAAAGTACATTCTATTCGTTAACAAAAGTTCAGCCATTTGACATATTTACCTTCCACAATTGTGCAGTGAACTGTGAACATGCACAATTCAAAATGTCAAATGAGTTTGTGAGCTAATAAGTCTTAAAGTAACTAAATATTCTTAAACCATGACATAATTAATTCTTCCCTATCAATATGCCCATTAAACTAATTTCAGACACAGTAAACAGGACACTAGAATACTTAGCAAGTTCGAGTGCAAAACTGACAGCTGATTCTTTAAAGGATGTAACCATACCCTGACCCCCAATGTTATTAAAATTCCAGTTATTAATCCTGTCTTATTGCCCTTTTGTTTTCATAACATTTTCATCAAAGATTAGGGAGATACTGTCAGGCTGGAAAAGCTCACATTTCCTGCTGTGATTCCCAACAGCTGCCTTTCTTATTTGGATAACCCTTCATTCATATTCTTTTCCTTGCTCCACATTCCCCATGGCAAAATCACGCAAGTCCTCCCCATTTTATCAATGCCCTTAGGGAAATTAATGCCACCATCTATTCCTGCTAGCTACTTATTTATTTTCACCAATACAGTGCTTCAGAAGTCCCCAAACAGATCTATTCCCATGGCCACCTTCACAATCCTCATCACGGTGGAGATTCAAAGGCTTTTGTCCCCAAGTTGAATACTGCCAATATCTAATCCTTACTTTCCCTGTTGTTGCTTTCACTCTCAGAGACATAAACTGCAGCAGTGAATGCAGCAGGATCTGCAGATTTCAAATAGGATTTTACTTTATATTATAGTTTCCCCTTCTATGTTGAGCCAAAAACCTCATTCACAGATATGCTATTAATCATGCAGGCTGGAGTGTAGCTCTTTTTTAAACCCTGTGGTTTCAGTAAGAGAATTTTTAAAAAAAAGAAAGACAAGACAGAGACAGACTTTTCAAGGATCCAAATTAACAGGTGAGACTATTCCAAGAGATCTGGAGAATTCCCAGTTACACGTGCTGGATGTTTGTGTGTTTTGTAAGGAGCTGAGTAGGAGGGTTGGGGAGAGGGCGACTTTGCTAAGATCACCACTAAAATGTTAACACAAATCAATGTCGGGCCTCCAGACTCCTCCGATCTAATAGCAATTTTTGACACAAGTCTGGGTAAGAGTAGAAAAGAGAAACGGGTAGGTGGTGAAGGAACAATGCTGTAACATTTAAATACCATTTTGTTGATGTATTCACGGAACACCCCCAGAGAAAGGGCAATAAGAAAATTCTGGTATAATGCTTCATGTGGCTTATGTTAATTATCACTACAACCTCACAAGGTCATCCCTGGGAGGGACTTGCCTTTTGGCTTGTGGATGTGCATAATTACGAGGCATGCAAATTAAGGCACACATCCACACTCATGGACCATGCATTGGCTCAATAATATCAAATGCTTTCTTCTGTTTTGGAAGATACTGGAGAAAGAAACAGCATTAGGCTGCCTCAAAAGTCACAATGTTAGAAGCAAGCGGGAAGCACTTAAAATGGCAGGGTTACAGCACTCTAAAAAAAAAAAACAAGCAAACCTTTACAAAAGCCTCCTCCCACTCCCAGAGCATAGCACCTATTAATTTGACCAGAGTCATCTAATTGTCACAAACTTTCAGTCACCTCTGAGATTTGCTTAGAACTGATTCAACAACAACAACAAAAAAAACAATTCATCAAATTAAAACAGATCTAAAATAACCAACAGCGGAACTTCACAAATGAGTAGGTCTTTTTTGGTGAGTAGTAGTTCTGTTGTAGACTTGGCTGAGTTAATAAGTACAGCCCTGGACATGCTAAAACAATGGGGCAAGTTTATGGGGTGGAGGGGAATCTTTTATTAAAAGAGTGATAATTAAGAGTATTAAGACCATGAAAACAGAACACGGCCATAAAACAAAACTGATTAACTGTGCTTAATGACAGACCATTTCAGCATAAAATGAAGGTGATTGCAATTAAGTAATGGTTCCCAAGGCTGGAGTGCAATCTTACCAGTCTGCTGAATCACTGATTGCAGACTTTGCCCACGTGCCAGCATCCGTTGTCACAAAGCCCACATCATCGTGGGAGCTGGAAGATGACTGGTCAGACAGATGTGGAGGGAGCACCGGCAGCCTGTCATCTTCTATAATGACAGTGTCATCTTGGGGCATGTTCACCGTGGGGGACAGCTGGTATTTACCTGGCCAATGGAAAAAAAAGGAAGAGAAATTCTAGATATCGATCTAAGGGCTATGCGTACGAATGGCAACACATTACAACATTAGAAAAACTCTAAATTTCCAAACATCTGCTCAACCTGGTGGAACAAAATAGAATGAAGGAAATTTATTTTTTCACAAATAAATGGCCAGTGGAGGCCTAGAGTCTGTTCCCTTCTCTGACTTGGTGGCTCTGTAGCTCTTGGCACAGTGTTCAATTTCACTGGATTCAGGTTTCATAAAGCCACAGATGATCTCCAGAACGTCTTCTAATGTGAAAATGCTACACAGATTCTAAGTTGTGAAAGTCCTTTGGAAAATTTTACCAGGAAATTTATAGGGAAGCCCTGCAGACTTAGATCAATCATTCACCTACTCATTCGCTGGGCACATACCGCATAGCAAGGATGTAAGAAAGACTTAAATCTCTGCCCCCAAACAGCTCACACCCTAGAGAAACAGACATACAAACACTGATAACTGACTGGTGGCGTGAAGGACGTGCTAAAAAGACTGTGGCCTTCACCTGGGTGGCTGGAGGCAGAGTACACCGGGGATCCTCACCAAAGTTAACCTCACAGTTGGGCTTTGAATGATGAATATGATCTTTTCTGCTAGGAGAAATGATGACATTGGTTTTACACAATGGCAACAACATCATTAAATTCATGATGGAGAAACGCTCCCGGTACATTCAGGTGACACTTCAAAGATGAGTATATGCAGAATCGAGGCCTCATGGGGAGATGGCAGAGTGATCTTAAAAAAACAGGATCTAACTGCCCAAAGATTTTCAGGCTAAGACAGTGGGGTCTGTACATTTTTATTTATTCAATTCGGATATAATGTTCTTGGTAAGGAAAGACTCACAACTGTCTATACTGATGAGTTGCTTTTGGGGAAATCTGCTCAGGTGCATGGATCAGCATGACAGACGTTTATATTTCTTGGGACAAAATTACAATTCAAGCCCTGAACTCTTAAAGATAAAGCTGGGGTCCAAATGATGCCATCTTCCTCCCGAAAACATCCATACTTCTTCTGGCTTCCTCCTCAAATCTTGTGCCACACTTCTGAGTTAAGACCTCACTGGACAAGGCGTTGGTCCAAGTGGATACATCAAGAGAGTCCATACTCACAAAAACACACATCAGGATATGATGGAGGCCCACTGGCCTGGCTCTCCCAACAGAGCAAGAATTGACAATTTCCCCATCACCTTACAGCGGGATGGGAAAAGTCTCATTTTAAGTCCAATATTCAAATCTGGTAAGCCAGCTCTACTGGCTCCAACCCAAATAAAACGGATCGCTGTCCTTTCCCCATACTAGCACCATTTTACACTTTACACAGGGTGCTCTTTTCCTTTATTATAAACCACTTTTTAAAATAGCACCACAGCAACATGTGGAGAGATTTTAACATTTTAACATCAGGCTTAAGATCTAATTTTTAAAATAAACATTCATAAGAATGTGCAAATGATGACTTTTTGTTTTAACACGGTTTTGGCAATTATGGGATGGCATATATAGGCTTGAAGGATTTTTAAAATACATATTATTCTAGACACTCAACAAAGGGACAAAAATTAAGTTGTTGATATGTATCTTTTCAGGACAACCCACAAAAGAAGGCATGCTAGAAGTTTCAAATGCGTTGATTATTTAGCACCAACTACTTTATTATAGAAATACTGTATGTTCACTGAAACATTAACACAGCATTTTATCAAGAAAAACACTCTATTTTGATTTGAAATGCATTCATTTTGACAAACTGTGAAAACTAGCAACTTTTTATAAATGCTCATGATTATAAAGCACATCAAATTTAACTTGTTTCCCTCTCCTGAATTCAAATTATTTATTTACTACTACTTGAGTTTTAGTAAAGACAGAAATCTGTCTAAAAAATTACCATTCATAAATAAGGTTGGACATCCTAGCACTATCACCAAAAGAAATATTTCCTTCTCAAGACATACTTTTTTGCCCAAAAAGTGTACAGAATGACAAAACCAGAGTTATCCCTGACAGCTCACCACTGACAAAGCACGTGTCATAGCATTAAATGCCAAGTCCTCACAAAGGCAAAATTTACTGGAAGGAAAAATTACAATATAATTATAGTGTACTCGCTTTTCAACACAAAAACTAAAACTCTTGCGTTTATACAATATATTCTGAGAGACAGCCTAATAAGCAATATGGAACACTGAATGGTTCTTCATATGACAATCCTTTTTTTATAATATGCTGTGTTGAGTAGAAATATTGTACCTTAAGTGATCCAAAATTTTATACATAAATGGTAAGAAATTTTCCTAATAATAAGAAAACAATTTAGCTTTTTCCTCTCACAAATGATTCTAGGGGCTAATATTTCAAAAGATGTGAGAATTCACATTTTTCTTCAGCTTCCCAACTTCTTGACATGCTCGCCAAGAATTACAGTTTTCGAATCTGGATGCAGGAATATATTGGGAGCAATGGACAACTAAATTATCTCACTCCATGTTCTACCAAACTCCACCTAGACAATACCTCTTAATGATACCTGGGCACATCATAAACGTGAAACCTTCCAAGGGTGACCTGAGAAGCCTTTGATCTGTTTTTTGATGGATAAATATATTTCTCCTTCCTCAACCTAGTTAACCGACAAACTACAAACTGAAATTTAAACCAGTCAATATCTTACAGAGGAGTGAAACAATGAGATACGAAATGATTGTTTACTAAACATTTATTCATTGGTACATTTACATAGAAGGCAATACCATTCATGACACTAGAAACAGATGAAAACTTTTCCAGTGATTTGACTCACAATAAAAACATTAATGTTCCATTTCTCAATGTTGAATTTCTAACAAGATAAAAATATGCTGAGCATAATTATTTTTTAAACTCACCACAAATGTATGAATATAAGAACTACTGAGGTTAATCTCTAAAACGAATACACCAGATTTTGGTCTTGCTTTAAACAGAAAATTTCTTCAGATTAAAATTTGGAAAAAAATTAAGGTTCCATGTTCCCAAATGTCAACTTCTGATGTATTTTAGTGAACGTGTTGGTTAAATTAACCATGCCTATTATTGTTTTATGATTATTATAGTTAAGACAGTCCAGCAATTTAGGATTTTTTTTTTTTTAAGTCTTTTAACATGAAGAAATCCTAGGTAGGCTCTCTAGAGATTTCTTTTTGATGAATATCCAGGATTAAAATTCATGATTAGTGGCAGGTAGGCCCATACAGAAGACATCTGGAGAAATCTTGTCTTGGTCCCAACTCTGGATGACCTGACCAAAAACTAGGGAGACCGATCCAGGTTGAAGTAATGTGGGACTCATGACTCGGGAAAATACACATCCTAACTGGTCCAGGAACACAGAAATCTTGTGGCTTCCGACTCGTCACTGGAATTTCTCTGGTTCCTAATTCCTCTGAACAGAAGATAATTCAGCTGGAGTAGATGATTTCTAAGACTGTTTTCAGAGATGAGCTTTTTGGATTTTTAGAACACAGTGACCGCCAAAAAGGAACAGATTCTGGTGACTGTCTAATGCCTTTTGCTTAAAGATTCAGATAAACTGATGTTAATAAAGAATGGACGTGACTAATCCTTATTGTGTGGTCTCAGTATGCCCTAGAGAGGGGCTACTTTTAGAAACAAGAAATATCCAAAAACAACATAAAACAAAAAATCACCAAGGGATCTTGTGACAATGTTCCTTTATCTGTTAAGTGGGAGAGTGCGGCTAATGACCCCTGACATCCTGCCAAGTCTTACATCTTTTCTTTTGATTTATTTTTTTTTTAGAAGCTTCTCTCCTGAGATATGTTCCCATAGAAATGAGTTAGAAAGCCCCAAAGCTCCTTTTGGTCTAGAGTCTCACATGAGGGTTTTTCTAGGTGAAAATTCATCCTGTTTGCATACAATTAGTCATTTCTTAAAGTAATCAGCTGTAATTTCAATACAAAGCTCTATTTGAATCAGAGCAGATCATAAAGTAAATACCATCACCTCCACTAGTGTCTACGTAAGAGTTATTCTAAATATATAGAAGACAATCAGCAACCAAACAAGATCTACCTGAGAGATTTCCACGTACCTAGATACTGTGCAAATCAATAAATACTAGTGCTACTGATTTAGGTTAACAGTAATTCAGTGCGCTACTATCTTATATTTGGTACCCTGTATTTTGTTTTAAGCTAACATTCTTTGCAGGACTTCGAACTTTAAGTGGGAACTGACCTAGCAAACCATTTGTTTCTGAGGGCCACGAATAATGGAATACGGACTGATGAAGACTGAGTTCTCAAATTTGTAAAACTCAAGACAGATCAGGTTAAGCATATGCATTTCTCAGGGTAAAACTATAAAAGATCCCTAGTTTCCAGTAGAATATGTAAAAAACTATGTTAAGAAAATACCCAAATCGTTCAACATTAACTTGGCCTACCAACAAAGGGTAAAGAGTCTTTCACCCCCGACCCAAAAGGGCACGCACAGTACATCACAAAGCACACAGCTGGGAGGGAAGCTGCTGCCCCGGGGAAAGCATCTGGAGCCTTAAAAGTCCATTACATCTCTAGAGAAGGGAAGGGAAAACAACAGTAATGCAAATGGAAGTGGACTAACGAAGCCACAGCTAACAAAATCAGGGTAACAGACTATGAAGAAAATGAAGGAGTCCTCAACCCATTATATACAGCACTTCAAAAGGTCACTAGGTGAATTTTGGGGTTTTTTGGTTTTTTAGTTTTAGTTTTTCAGCCTTCCTCTGAAGCATCAGGGATTGGAGGCAGGACGCAGGTTACAGGAACTGGTGGACCAATGGTCTGATTCAGTATGGCAAGTCCTATGTTCCTATAATAAAGGGGAAATTACAGCATATCACTTTGTATGCACACAGATCCAGGGACACATGCACGCTCTTTCTCTCTCAAGGGGTATGAATTTTCATTAATGAAAAAAGTATAACAAAGATAAAGTTTTACACCAAAACCAAGAAAGTATGGAAAATGCAACGGCAGTGAAGAGAATGATCATTAAGAAGCAAAGATTAGTGTGGTGATCTCTGTGCACTGTGTGGCATCTGACAGGTACACAGTGGTTTTAGCATCCTTCCCCTACTTCCATTTATGCCAAGCAGGCAAAAAAGAAAACTATTGACAAAGTAAAACCAGAGGGCTGGCAGGTCTAAGTCCTATGTGCAACAAAATAAGGAATTGAGAATTTAGCAACTTCTCCAAACTAGAAAGCTAGAAGGACCAAAGGAAGACCAGAAAATTCTACTAGTCATGTTTATGTGTTTTTCCTGTCATGCCCAGGAGAGAGTTCTTTGTAGGTAGAGATTGTGTCTCACTCATTTTTGTATCTACAGCAAAAGTGTGTACACAAACGTCTTGTCAATAGTAGGCTTTCCATAAATGTCCACTGGCGAATGAAATAAATCCTTGTTCCAATGAAGCTTCATAATGGAAACTTGAATTGCATTAAATCTTCATTAAATGTTTCAAAATGGCATTAAATTTAGGGTTTTATTTTCGAGTCTTGTGAAACACACCAGCAATAAAAGTGTTTTATGTCAGGTGCTATTTTAATCGAAACAGCTGCTTATATTTTAAATTTGAAAACTCTCACAAGTTAATCCCAAGATGAGCAACTCAGTAAATCCAACCACTCCTGTGGCAAAGCAAGTCTTTATTAACTGGATCTGTTAGGAAAGAGCTGCACTTCTGCTGAGCAAGTGCTAATAACCTCAGTACCCACTGGGGGCCGAGCAGACAGTATGGTGCCGAATCCAAACAAAGGATGCAAAACACTAGCTTCCAGACTTTAAAATCAGGGCTTTGACAAAGTAGAGATGCAACTTAAAAACAGTAACATCCTATTAAGTACAAGCCAAATAAATGTGAGTATTTCATCTACGTACAAACATGTACAGCTGCATCTGTTCCTCTCCCTGTAAAAAAGGTGCTGCTGTGAAAGATACGTGACTTTGAATCCTCATCATAAACCACTAAATTCTGACTTTCCTAAAACATGGCTTCACTTCTACTCTCAAACGAACTAAACACATCTTGATCGCTGAACATATTTCCATGTGACCCCTTCCTTTTCTGCCCCCCCAACATGTTACAGGATCTAAAATTCACTTAACAAAATCAATGTATTGATTCAATCTCTTCACTATTAACACTTCCTGGATGATAATAATGAACTTGCTCTTTTTCCTCTTGAAAACACGGGCCTCCCTTACATTAATATTACATTAATAACCTCCCAGTGAACCGGGAAAGCATAAAAATAAGATGTGATAAACAGAGTTTTACCTGACTCACCCATTATCCTGCTGAGGGCAGCATTTCTCGTGGGTGATTCATCAAGCCCCTCAATCCCACTGTACAGGGAATGGGAGATTCTTCGTTCTCGATCATCCAATACCGTTTCAATGGGCAGCTCAGGTCCAGAGGGGCTCCCAGGTGACTTCAGCTACAGAGAAAAGGGGGCAAGGGAAAATCAGTACTGGAGGCCCATTAGCAACATGGGGGAATTATAACAACTTGCCCAAGGCCTGCATCCAACTGGGTACCAAATGAACTAGAACTTTTCACCCTGTACCAAAATAATTTGTGATGACAGCTCTGCCTAATGACCAACTTTCTCTGCCACTTTACACTGTGCCTCCCATGAAGTTCTGTCAGACTGCAACCATTGGAGGAAAAATATGTATATTAAAAGCTTTTTTTTTAAACTTATTTTGCTGCTTATTTTTTCAATTTGACTGTTAGTATCTGTTGAAGTCAATTAAATTATGCTTTAATTCGGAATTCTTCATGAGATGTTGCTCTGCACAAAGCGTGCTTTATCAGAATTGAAGCTGGAACTAAGCTATACTTTTTATATCTATAATAGGTAAATACACCTAACAATTAGCACTCATCTCCATGTGTGCTGATAGAATTACTACCTACTCTACAAGACCTAAAGATCACTTGTGAGCTCAGGTGTCTCGAGCAATTCACTAAGCCTACATTTCTTCTGCTAGAAATTAGTTAAGAAGTCATTCTATTCTCTTACTATAATCTTAAATATAAGATAGGGAGTACCTGAAAAAACCACTTTAATGGTATATAAACAATACAGAACTAGGGACCAAATAGTATAATGAAGCAAAGATGTGTATGTCACAAATATGATCTAATAAATAAGCAAAGAATATAGGTCAATTTCCATCACCATGAATTAAAACAGTATGTGGCATTCTTTCAAACAGCTGTGCCTCATAAGTCAGATTCTGCACAAAAGTAATATGAATAAGGAACCTATGTTCCTAAGGCCTTGAAACAAATCTGCTTCAAGGAGGGAACAAAGCACACTTAACAGCAATCCTCCAAATGTGGGCTCTGAGGTTAACTCCCTGGACTAATATCTTATGACGCTCTGGTCCTGGCTTGTAGCCAGAGACAAAGAGGGCTTGGTGGGCGAGGTGGAGAGGTGGGTGCAGCACAGCACCACCAAGTGGGAGAGAGGACCACACATCCCAAACAGAGGAAACCACAACGGTTGCGGTTCCTTCATCGGAACAAATTATTATTTCTGTTAGAAGCTATCATCTGTTTAATATAAATGAGATATTTAATGAAGTTCCAAATTGTAGACTTATCTCTCCCAGTTTGATAAGCACTGGGGAGATTTAATGCATTGAAGGGTCAACACAATTACAATTGGAGGCACGTCAAACTGTAGGAGAATAATAAACTTGTGGCGCTAGTGAATTAGACTCAATAAGGTTTAAATTGTGAAATGAGGATTTGTTTTATTAGTTTTTTTTTTAAATTGCAGATTACAACTGACAGCTTCACAGGAAAGTAAATTAAATATTCAAGGTCTCTGATGTAAAAAAATAAAAGAACATTTTCTGAAAGAATTCTATGCCTCAATTCCAAAATACTTTGGGGAGGTAAAAACAAAAACAAACTAAAGCAATACCCAATGCCTTTAAGAACAAGTATGTCTGAAAATTTTAAATGAGCACATACACTGAAGAGACTTGTGATCCAAATCTCTATATGAGATCTGCTTGCTGTACAATTTACTTTGTAAGACAAACAACATATCCTCACATTTGCTTAACAGATACATTTAATTGAACTAGATAACTGAAATTTTCTAGATGATAAAATCCTTACAAAGCTATTCATGAGAAATCCCTAAATACTCTAAAAGGCTACTTTAGAATATTAGAAAATCAAATAAAAATTCCATTTAAAAAAAGCAATGCAGGCTTTCTAGAGAAAAAAAAAAACAGTAAGGTGCCTGTTCAGAAAGAACCTCACAATTGAACATTTTCATGGGAAAGAGTCTACACCTCCCCTACCTTCTTAACCATGTCTAATTTACATCTCAAAAGACAGATTTAAATGAAGACATCAGTAGCCTACTACATAAATATTTAACAGAAGATACGATGCCTTTTAATTTCTTTAAAAAAAAAAAAAACCTGACTGGGGAGCACAGTTTTGTTTTAAATCTTTTGATGATTTTTTTGTTGTTGTTGCAAGAAAAGGAGTTTAAGAAGGAGAAACACACCACGGGGTTACTATGGCGGCACAGTGGAGGCAGAGCGAGGGGGTAGAAGAGAGGGCCTGGGTGGTCTGCAACCTAGGCTGGTCCCAGGCCCTGTAAGTCTCCTTACATAAAAACCTTCTTCAAATTAAACTTAATTAGAAGAAGAAACTAAAATAAAAGAACTACAATTTTCACTTTAAGGTGCAAAAATATTCTTCAATCTAACTTATTCAGTCCCAGGTAGGAGTAGTTGTGCTCAGCCCCCTCAGCTCCACCTCTGGAAAAATAGGAAAGCCTTTTCACCTATTAGAGAAAAATTAGCTCTCGGTTGCAGCAAGATAACTTCTACTGGGTAGCAGTGTAAAGAGATACAGTCTTTTCTAAAGTAATACAGAAATGTATATCACAGGTCCAAAAACATCTTATACTCCTTGACCCGGCCATTTATTTCACTTTGTGGTCATTGCCCTCACAAAATAATAAGCTACACGAATAATAAAGATTCATGTGAATCAATATTTATCATAACATTATTTACAAAGGTATAAAATTGGGAATTACCCCAATACTGAAAAACAATATAAATGCAGTCCACACTTAGAAAAGATATTCAAATGATCATATGTTGCTTTTATAATCAGAAAATAACAAATGATACATAACAACAAAAATTGGATATTGTCCAATGAATATGCTTTCCATTATATACTTGGACTACTTTTCTTAGGAAAAGCTAAAATCTTGGCTTCTTTTAAAAAACTGATATCTTTTCTGCAGGGTTTAGCAAATTCTGTCATTGTAGGTAAGCATGAGCGGGTCAAATGATGTCTTTCACACAGAGAAATTGTATCCCACCATCTCAACCATAAGCATTGAAAACCTGGCATAGACATGGCCCTGATCTCGGCAGCAAATTAAAGACTGGGTTCTAGTTAGTAAAGGGCATAATCTTATTTTTCGACATTTCAGTATTTTTGGGCTTATTCTATTTTATCCCCAGTGCCTGGCACAGAGCAGATACTAGGTGAGTAAATGGATGAATAAATTAATTTCCAAGTGAATGACTCAGATGTTCCTCAAAATGGTTTGGAGATCTTATACACACTAGGCCATGTGGAAGCAGGCCTAAAGCTGAGGGCACAGCACAGTATGTAGCCTAGATTACGATGATATATTGTGGAAAGTACTAACATCCAAAGGACAGGTAAACACAAAACAATGAATAAAAAGACAGGCTTGAGTCTTGGAGAAGAGTGGTTGTAGCTTTAAGGTCAAGTTTCAGGTTCTGTTGTCATGTAGAACAAAAATTCATCTCCTTCCCATACCGCCCTCCCCCCCACCCCACCCCGCCCATCCATGGGCTACAGCAAAGATCAGAGAGGTACTGGAACCTCCCCAAGTCATTCTACCTGTAAGCGGCAGACCCAAAATATAACTGTCTGATGCTAAAACCCATGCTTTTATTGTATGCTACTTCCTAACACAACCAGAATATAAACTGCCTGAACAACACAATCACAGTCAATTTAGGCCCACTCACATTGTGGTAAGAGGAATGGGCACCTTGTTTCTAAATTACTTTGCCCTACCTTGGGCTTGCAGCCATTACGCAAATCATTTGACCTCTCTGCATTTATTTCTTAATACATGAAATGAAGAGAATCATAAATGATACCTTAGGCCCCTTCCTATTCTAATGAGCTTTCTAATTCTAAGAGGATTAAACCTACAGAGAGAACTCATTTTAAAGTAATCCCTGCTGACTATATCCTTCAGTATGGGGTCTAAGACAAGGCTCACCTGGTCACATTCTCTACTGGTACTAAGACGAGGCTTCATATGAAATCATTTCTAACACAGATACAATTAGATGACCGCAAGCTATGTTAAACCGCAGTAATTTCTACAAACATTAATTTCCTTGGAACATCCACAATCAGCATAATTGTCAAACACAGGTTATTTTCAATCTTCAAGGAACAATGTCAAGTACTTACTCCCGTTTCCCTCTACTATCTTTCCAAGTCCTCAACAAATGTGTCCTTTGTGATGATAACCAACGTTTCTGCCTCTTGCTTTATGTATTCTATCCAATGGAAAAGATTTAAGAAGTTTTTCTCCAATGGGCGCCTGAGTGGCTCAGATGGTTAAGCATCTGCCTTCGGCTCAGGTCATGATCCCAGGGTCCGGGGATCGAGTCCCACATTGGGCTCTCTGCTCAGCGGGGAGCCTGTTTCTCCCTCTGCCTCTCTCTCTCTGTCTCTCATGCCTCTCTCTCTCTCTCTCTCTCTCTGTCTCTCATGAATAAATAAAAATCTTAAAAAAAAAAAAAAGTTTTTCTCCAAAAAAGTTAATCCATCAATCAGGAACACACAAAACAAGGGGAAACCATTTCTTTTTTTTTCCTAAAGAAACAATTATTGTTGATGAAAAGTTTTTAAATGTACTTATGAACATTAAATGTAAGGAAAGCAAAAGAAATCCAGAATCCCTGCCAAAATATTAATTTGGTTACCATGCCTGGGTTTTTTGGTGTGTTTTTTTGTTTTTTTTAGAACTTCAGTTTCTAATATCACTAAGTTATCTTTTCTTCTAAAAAGGCCAGCCTCCCTAGGATTATTTCCCTTGTCATTCCGTTCGTGCTTAGGTGTCAGCTCTGGGTTGGACATCAAGAAATGAAGAGGTAGGGACATGGCAGATGGACAAGGTTCCAGCCATCTCAGAATTTACAGTTCCCATGAAAGAAAACCCAAAAGGAAACATGACAAGGTAATTGCTGCTAGATGAAGGTAAGTACTCTGACTACGGAATACTCTGGTGAGAAAAACTAAAATCTAAAAGCTGTCTTTGTGAGGACAAGGACCAGAAAGGGCTCATGGGGCAAACCCAGACTTGAGAGTACCGTGCGCCTGAGAAATTGCAAGCCGAGCCGAGGAGCTCACGCAGGCTGCAGGGGAATGCACTGCAGGGACACAGACGCGGGTTTCTGCATGTCCTGGGGGGCCATGGGATGGAGACTGACACCTGTCCTGGAGGGGATGGAAACCTCCTGAAGGGATTTCAGCCGGGAGTGACAGGAGCAATGTGTTCTGTAGAAAAACCTGCCTTCCTGCAGTGTGGAGAACGGACTGCAGCAGCAAGCCCTGTGGGACAATGGGGCCTGAGGTGGGGCGACAGCAGAGGGGCTGGAGAAAAGTGGCTCGAGGAGGGAGAGATTCTGGAGGCAGAGGTTACCGAAACAGGGAAGGCATTTGAGAGGTCCAGAGTGAACCCCGTCTCCAGCTTCTACAACCACGGAGTAGCGGTAGGGGTTGCGGGGGGATGGGGCAAGACCAGGGTGGATGAAGTACTCAGGGAGGAACCGACTTTGAAGGAAAAGCATAAATAAAGTCTCGGGCACCTTGTGACTTTGGGAGCCTGAGCGACAAACCAGTAAGTATCTGGACCTAAAACAGAATTCTGGGCTGGAAATGGGGTTGTGGGATTGGTCATAACACGGGCAGTACCTGAAGATCTCCCAGGGAGCATGCGCGGCGAGGAGCGGGGGCGGGCGGGGGGGGGGGGGGCGGGGGGGGGGGGGGGGGGGAGATGGAGGCGGCCCGGGGAGAGCCCGAGACACGCTCACGGTGACAGAGCAGGCGGAAATAAAGGAACCTCAAAGGAGGGAGAAGAGCCAGAGTAAGGTAGCAGAAAAAGGAGGAGAGCAGATAAGAAGAGATTCAAGATTGGTGGCGTTCCAAGATTCCTGAAAGGCCAAGCAAAAGAGACTGAGCAACATCTTCCGGAGAACGCCCCAAATGTGCTGTAGCGTGAAATGCAAGGTAAGGGGACAATACCTACTGTGGAGAGTTGACAAGTAGTTTTTGAAAAAAAAAAAAAAAATTAAGATAATATATGGCACTTCCTACATACAAGAAAAGATCACGGAAAGATGTGACAAAGTACAAACTGTTTTCTTTCTGCAAATTCTCATCTCCTCTGGCTTGAAATTAGGTATGCAAACCCTTGATTTAAAGATGAGTTAGTAAAATATAGTTTTGTGATACTGTCCAAGACCGGCCTCTGGCTGACTAATAGACCTAGAAGGAGGGAACTCAAGCACATTATTTTGGCCTGAGGTTCATTCATGACAAGACACCGTATGCTTCTATCAATATTTACTGTGACATCATTTACACATACTCTCTCATAACTCAGGGAGATGTTTTTCCAAAGGTAACATATAATAAGTACAATAGCAGCAAAATCATATCTCATGCCTTATGGGAAGCCGAACTGAGCTCTTCTGTCTTCATATAATTCTTTAGTTAAACCCTGTCAGTACTAAAGGCTTCTCGGTAGTATTACAAAGAAAGCACAGCACTCGTGATAAGATTTTTTTTTGATATAATTGTTTTATAAGCTTATACTCTCCTAAGAAATAGCAATAACCAGCAATGTATGAAAATGATACCGTAAGGAATACTGAATATTAAAGTCTATTACTGTCTATTGCAGCTGTTCCCTTACTTAAATCATTTCATTCACATAAATTCATATACAGAAGTAAATGAGACCCAGAGATCTTTCAGTGGGATTTCAATTTCGTGTGTTTTACAGGACAACAGGGAATAAAATCAGTGCTTTTATCAAAACATTTTCAGGCTGGTACAGGTTTGCTTTGCTACTGTTTGGGGAATGACAGGGACTCATGTGAATCAGAGGAAAGCATGTCTGGATTCAGGATGCTGGTCTTCAGTACATTTCCTAATGTTTTAAGTGACCCCAGAACATCCAATGCTTTTCTGTGAAAGAAAATTTTGAGAAGGTGTTTACAAATTTTATTTTTAAAGAGACTGAGAATATGATATATTCTCCAGTAGAATATAAGTTCTGTGAGAGAAGGAGCCCCATCTGTTTTTACTCACTGCCATATCCCAAGGATCTAACACATTTCTTGAATACAGTAGGTGCTCAATAAACATCTGCCAAACAAATACTGTCCTGTGAATGTGAAATTATTCAGTTTTAGAAAAAGACCTAATAAAGAACAATGTGCTTGTGAACTTTGGAGAATTTTTCAACTAGCACTTTATAGGACTTATATTAGAAAGGTCAGTTAATAATTTTTGGCAACGAATAAAAGCTCTATTATTCAAAGAAAACCATTCCAGTAGCCTACTCAGAGGGATTAGCATTTATATTTATCTTATGAAAGTGAATTTTTTCCCCAAAGATTTTATTTATTTATTTGACACAGAGAGACACAGCAAGAGAGGGAACACAAGCACGGGGAATGGGAGAGGGAGAAGCAGGGTTCCCGTGGAGCAGGGAGCCCGATGCGGGGCTCAATCCCAGGACCCTGGGATCATGACCTGAGCCAAAGGCAGAAGCTTAACGACTGAGCCACCCAGGCGCCCGAAAGTGAATTTTTTTATGTCCCACTGTTCTCCATTCTGAGAAGTTAAAGGTTACATTGTTCTCTTGTTGTTACGGAAATTAATGCATTAATTATTGTTAACAAATTCTCCATTTGAAAAATAAAAATAAAGAAGTAAGTCAATAGTCAATAACCATCCCAAAGTTGGTCACCTGTACATTGACTACCCAACAAAACAACCTTCATTGCAAAATATGAATGTGGTACGGGATGGCATGAGTGATCAACACAACCTGAATAGCTCACTTTAGATATATAACATAGATTTTTAAATTAAGAAAAACACTTAAACAATTTAGATATAATTTTCAGTTTGTATGATTTCCTAGTCATTTCCTTTTAGTTGATTTAAAAATGTGGGGAGTTGAGCATTGATTAAAAGCAAAAACAAACTCTACATTTTAACAAGCTTTGCTCTATAAATTCTCAGCTCCCACCTATTTCCTATAGATGGCACATAATTTATAATAGATCTATGAACCTGGATTTGTTTCAAGTTCTAATATTATCATATCAATATATAATTCCTTTTAAATTTTCAAATACCCCACTGTGCCAGAAAGTATGTTTCCACTTACTATTTTTTTACTATTTGGGAAAACAGATGATCACAACCTTCAGGAGAGGATACTCTTCCTACTCATTCCTAATTACGCACTGCTGCATATATTTAGAACCAGCCATGGCATTGTGCAATAGTTCTCTCTCAAAAAGCATGCTATCAAGGGGAAAATACTCAACCCTATAGTGAAGGAGAAAGGGGACACAGGGAACAGAAGGGGAGACTTACACCTCTGACAATGTCACAAGAGAAAGAGACTCTCCCCTGTCAGGGACTTTGGAAGAGGCATCCCATTATAGATAAACAAACGAACTAGCCCTTGCTGTTTCATTGTTTCTCTCTCCCAGGTACAACACTACTCAATAGAAGAGAAGCTGTTGGCTCCCAGCAGGAAGGTATGGCCCTGTTTTCAAGAAGAGAACCCAGCTGAAGGTGCTTTTAAGATTCCCAGTGTTATTTGTTGAGCTGGCCATAGAAATACTAATGCACACTTAGGAATACTTTGATCGTAGAAGTAAGAGAACAAATCACAGTCCACAGTCAATACAATAAAAAGAGCAAAGATAATTTTATAATATTTTGAAGGAAAGTCCCAGGACCTGTCATTCTTTATCCATTAGGACAAAAACTTAGTCTTACAATTTCAAATGCTAGTGTCTTCTTTTTATTTCCTATGCTTTACCTCATTGCACTTGCTTATTCGCCTCGCGACAATGAGCTGGATCATTCCTCGCTTGTTCCCTTCAGTGGACATAGACCTTCTGAGGGTTTCCATGGCATCTTGGTTTGTCTTGCCCAACAGGGATTCTCCATTCACTGCTATCAGTTGATCATTCACCCGAAGCCTTCCATCCTGGGAAGAAAACAGGTAGAAGTAAGTGCTATTAAATAGTCTGTTATAAAAGAAGTTGCTCTCTCTTTAGTTAAAAAAAAATAAAAAATAAGAGAAAGGGGGCTTTAATCCTAATGGACTGTGTCCAATTGAACAGGAGCACAATAATGTCTAAGCAGCCACTGCAGCCTGTGTGTCTATTTCAATCATTTATACATTTGTAAATCAAGTCATTATCATAATCTGTTTACCAAAACAGCATACTAATTCAAAGGACACAAAGTGATTACTTTCTTGCTTCCAGAGACAACCATAGAGGTTATTTACAACCCAAGACAAGAAAAAGCTCAAGGCTGTAATACAATTGCAGAGAAGTGCCCCCTTGATGAACAGGGAGGAAACTTGCTCTCCACTGGCAAGCAGGCTAAGTGACCCACAGGCAGGGGAAAGGGGAAAGATGGTCCTGTAGGGCAGCTCTGTGCCCAGAACCTAAGCTAAGTCTTTGCATGGATTATCTTCTTTCAACTACAAGGACTATGGCTTGTAAATTCTGTGAGACAAAAAAATGGGGACTTGAAGCTATAGATTCCATCCCAAAATGCGAGATCACGGAGATTTCTATTCGCTTGATCACAAATGGGTTATTATGAAGAAAACAAAAGGCGTTACAGGGTAAGCGTGACAGGGTATCAGAACACGCCACTCCAAAACACGCCATTCTGGCACAAGGACTCTTTTAAGCTGAAGTCAACTGAGAACTGGCAGATGCTGGAGGAGCTCTCTGTTCTCCGCCTTGCTGGCTGAACACAGAGCTCCTCTTAACGAAGATGGCCCCTCGCCTGTCCTTAACCAGGAAGAGAAGGACATCACCAGAGACAGCGATGGCTCTGAGATTAGCCAGGCGACAAAACAGACCGTGCACATGAAACCTTATCTACCACTAGTTTCTGCCATCTATTTACCATCCCACAATTGACCTGAGAAGCCCAAATGTCATTTTTTTGTCTAATTACTGTTCTACAATTTACTGCCTTTTGCTAAAATGGTATCTAAGCTTCTGAGTTTTCTTTAGATTTTCTTTCTTTTCTGTAAAGCCCCTGTACATGGAAAAATTTAAATATTAACATCAATAAAATCTGTAAACATGTTCTGTTCATGTGTCTTTTGCCAGTTTAATTCACAGGCCATAAGAGGGTGGAGGAAAGGAGCCCCCCCCCCCCCCCCACACTGTGTATATGTTCCCAAGATAGGAATAGGGTTGTAATGAGATATTTTTGTTAATGGGCATAAGCCGAGTAAGGGTAACATTTGCTTACTTTAGATGCTGCTCCTCCATTAATAATGGACTTGACGAAGATTCCCAAATCCGCATGGTTCTCTTTTGACCGGTTACCTTTGACGCTGACACCAAGACCGGCTGATCCTGAATCGTTAAGTGGAACTTCAAATGTCAGAAATTCCCTGGTGCCATCAGGTGTGAGAACAATATCCTCATCTTCTGCTTTCTAATAGGAAACAAAATTGCATGGCACATTATATTCCAATGTTCCCTTCTCATAGCTATTTTTAAAGACTGCTAATGAGCAATCTTTAATCCTAACAGGCACAGTATTTTCACCAACGTTCCGTGACAAGATCCATGATAAGTGCATCTGCACCCCCTCCAGATGATTCCTGGAACCAGCTGTTAATATTTTTATGTGGCACTTGTTTCAATATTGAAACAAACTCAAAGCAGATTCTGAGAAATGTAGGGAAAAATACACCTGAAGACTGAAGACATGTGACTCCTAGAGTTTGGGACTTTTTTGTTGTTGTTGTTCTGTTCATATATCCTAAACCACAGGAGAAAAACAGTCACAGCAGGACTCAAAATAAATAAATATAACTCATTTGTCCTTTTATTCATTAGGAATTTTTGATGTCATTAAGAGTTTAATGCTCACTAATGGTATATCATTTTCTTCACAATTAATAATAAGTTCTGATGATACAAAGCCAGCAGAAACAGGTATTTATTTTCAGAGAGCCACTAGAGAGCTTTAACCTTCAACATCCACCTGTCCTCAACACGTAGTGTGCCTCAGACAGCTGGGGGATATTCTCCAAGCAGTACGGCTTCATTAATTAGTGGTGTCTGTAAGCTTTGATTTCATAACTGTAGTCATCACTGCATAAGAAGACTGTTTCAGAACATAACACATTTAAGACACACCAAATCCTGCCCAGCCCCCTTAAAATTTGAGGAAGAACAGGAAGCTGAAAGTAGAGCCTGATGAACCACAGTCAGAGGATGTGTTCTGCCCCCACAACACTGGGCACGGGGGACGAGGCAGCCTGCCCACCTCCAGACTTCTCTTCAGCAGTCCCGCCACGACCAGGACTTGAACCACTCACATCTCTACCCTGGTCATCTCCAAACAGGTAAGGACTCAGTACTTCCAACCACATAACAGCTAGGTGACACTCTTCAAATCACAGCTAAATGCCTTGTCTAGTCCTACCACACGTTCCTGCTCCTCTTTCTCCCATTTTGGAATATTTCTCCAGCATCCACCTAGTCACTCAAGCTGGAATTATCAAATTATAATTGAAAGATGGCTAAACATCTAATGGTACATAATTAGGCTAAACTATAAGGCATCCTTTAAAGTGTGCTTTTAAAGAATGTTCCATCGCACACATGAAAGGAGGCTATTGCAGAGCAATGTGGGTAGACTTCAATTTTCTTCTGTGTCCCAACAAATGTTTAAATCTTTCTAGTAACAATAAAAATTAATATAATAATGATGAAATAATTTTTTTTTTACAAATTTGGGGATTTAACTTCGCAACCAGATGAAATAATTTTTGGAATCATAGCATTTATCAATAAAAGATAATTTCTTACTGCAAAAGATATGTTTTTTTAAATCCCCAAATCCATAATAATGTGATTCATAAAGTGAGGTTTCCAATTTACTAATATCCACTATTAACATTTTATGGTAGGATGTTCTTTGTGCCATCTTTCCAAAAGACAACCTCATAGTTATCAGGACAATGTATGTTTCAAAAAAAAAAATAAATAAATAAAATCACTAATATGTTAAAAACAGGAAAACTATATAATAAAGAATGCAAAATAAGAGCAACTTGAAAAGATACAGGGCAATAGCTATGTTACTATACAGAGCAAATACATTTCAGTGTCAAAGTCAAAGCCTGCTCATTATAAAAATGTTTATACTGAAAATATTCCCAGAGAATAATTATAGCTCAAATAAAACCAGTGTATTGGAGAGAAAGAAATACCAAATACTCATATCAAAATACTGATATAGCACATATTTACTATGCTAATACTAATATATGTTTTATATTCTATAAACTTTTATTCATATGGTTCAGAATGACTAAGAAGTACTAAGTAATGACTTTGTGTGAATTAATACAGCTATCTCAATATAAAATCTGTTATAAAAACATAATGTGTAAGTAAATTTTGATGTCTGCAACACAAAACAGTATCAAAACACACCATAGTGTCCTTCAGAGTTATTTCAAATTCAGAAGTAATTAAAGGTAAAACATACGTTGTGAATGAGAATCAGTATTTATATTCCTGGAAAAGTTGCATTTAAAAAGGTATAAAAAGCAAAGATAGTCCTCAGCTGGGCACATTTAGGTCTGATCATTGAGTACATTTGTTTGCCTTAAGTCTAGAAGGTTCTTAATTGTCACTTACTGATTTAGATCTTCGGTTTAGCTTTTTAATGTTTACTGATTTTCACATTTCCATAATGTTTTACTAAGGCTTAAAATTCTCATTATTTTTCTACTTGAAAAATCAAGATAAGGAGCTGACTGAATATATGAAGAAAAATTTTAATCAAGTTGGAATCATTTCCTGACATGCCCTACTCTGAACCTGTCTTAAAGGAGACTATTTTCTCCACAGGAAAGTTTCATTTATTATGAAAACTACAGGATGGGAATGATATTCTTTTTCAGCTTTCTTATCAAGTCTTAAGTCATTATTATCATTAAAAACATTTAAGTGAGAGATAGTACTTTCCTTTGATATTTCATTATTAATCCATTTGGCTCTTGACATAAGACTGAAATTAATGCCAGCTTTTAGAACTTAATTTTCTGGCAGCAAAATGTTTTAAAAAATTTGCTCTTCAAAAACCATTTTAAATGCCACATTATAGAGAACTTTTTATGGAGTCTTCTAGTATAGAGATCTCTTCATTCTGATACAAAGGAGAAGCTAATTTTCTATCACCTTGATGGGTTCCATCCAGATTGTGTAATTTACAACTGAGTCAAATTCTTTCTACAAAAATACAACAAATGTATTTCCTTTGCCTCTCAAGTCATTTGTACATGACCATGTCATTCAAGCTCATATCATGTCCCTCATGCACACACGTTTGAACACTCCAAGTGATTTTTTGCATTGATGCAACCTGTCATTTTTTACTTTGCCCACTACTCCACTGGCATTTTTGTTAAGCATACTAGAAGCAAGAAGCCTGCAGAATGGGCAGTATGAAAGCTATCTGCTTTCCCACTATCCTCAGAATAGCAGAAAAGATGCACACTTCTATCTGCAGTGAGAAAGAACAATAACCACAAGTGTGCAACACGAAGGCCCAGCCAGGCGTCCTTTTTCCCCGGACAGCAGTACCAACAGCTGTGGGAAACAGTGGGCCCACAGGTCCTTCTGAGCCTGCTTAATCTGAAAAACGGGTAGATCCAAATGAGAGAGGGAAAAAAAGTTGATTATCTTAAGTAGATGAAAAAAAAATCACGAGCAGAGTCATCTCTGAGCCTCAATATATCAAGATTTTAATAAGAGTGCACAAAATACTGTGAAAAGACGCGGTATGTATCCATGTCGTAGGAGGCCCTAAAATCACAGATGTGAGTCCAATAGCTGATTTCAGGCTCTGTAAAGAAATAAATGATTCAACCAACATTCTGCCATTTGTGAAACAAAAGGAAATAAATATAAATATATAAAATATCCCTTCAATGCCTGCTATTATATTGGTCTTTCACCCCAGTTCCTGACACAGAGCTCCTAAATCCCTTATAATTTCCTAGTAAGAGTATTGGACACAGAGCTCCTAAATCCCTTGGGATTTTCCGGGTGTTAGGGCATCTTTTGTTCTAATGAGGTGACATTTGGTGGATTCCTCAGTGGCTCCTGGGTGGGATCTGGGCAAGCCATGATTAGAAGTTAAGAACTTTAGCCCAAGCCCATTCTCCAAGGAGGTGAGAATGGCTAAAAACAGAGTTAATAATTAATAATTGATCATGCCTTTACGATGAGGCCTCCATAAAAATTGCAAAAGAACGGGGTTCAGAGAGCTTCCGGGTTAATAAACATATCAATTTACCAGAATGGGGGCACACCCCAACTCCAAAGGGACAGTAGCTCCTGAGCTTGGGAACTTGAAGATTTTTGCCCTAAATATCTCTTCATCTAGTGGTCTGTCTGTGCCCTTTAAAATATCCTTTGTAGGAGCGCCTGGGTGGCTCAGTCAGTTAAGTGTCTGCCTTTGGCTCAGGTCATGATCTGAGGGTCCTGGGACTGAGCCCTGCATTGGGCTCCCTGCTCAGTGGCGAGTCTGCTTCTCCCCCTCCCTCTCCCCCTGCCTATGTACTCTCTTCTCTGTCACTCTCTCTCACATAAATAAATAAATCTTTAAAAAAATAAAATACCTTTGTAAGAAATTGGCGACAATAAGTAAATTGTGATCCTGGGCTCTGTGAGTTGCTCCAAAAGATTATCAAACCCAAGGAGACGGTCATAGGAACCTCTGATTTGTGGCCAAGTTAGAAGTTGTGGGTAGCCTGGGGATCCACTACTTTCTTATGGCCTCTGAGTGGGGGGCAGTCTTGTGGGGCTGAGCCCGTAACTTGTGGGGTCTACACTAACTCCAGACCGTATAAAGAAGTACATGGTCTGGAAGACTCACACATTGGTATCAGAAGTGTTGTGAATGTGGGCAGAGAAATAACAGCGAAATTTTTTGCTGCTCACTGCTCCACTATAATTTATTGACTTCTCTCTCACTCCCTTTTCCACTGAGTTTATTTCATTACTGCACAAACATGATAAAGTAATAACAAAAAGACGAACACTCCCACAACAAATAAGGATATGAATGAGCAATTCATTAAAGAAAGATGAGTGGACCAAAAAAATAGGTAATCTATTTGCAACAAAAGACACGCAATCAACAAAAGTTATCAAACTACTGAAGAAAACTGCTTTAAGTAATGATATCCAAGAATGCAGAAAGGATGGTGAAATGGGCACTTTCCTGCACTGCTGCTGAAATATAAAGATACAACACTTATAGAAGTCAATTTGACAATACTTATCAAGAGCCTCTACATTTTTTAACCCAAAAAATAGTATTTTAGTAGTATGTCCTAAAAAACTGTGATCAAGAACAAAGATTTAACTGTCAAGATGTTCACTGCCTTGATAGGACAGCTAAAAAAT